GGATGGAACTTGGCAACTCTCAATTCTTATTTCATTGGTTATTAAGGATGGAACGTGGCAACTCTCAATTCTTATTTCATTGGTTATTAAGGATGGAACGTGGCAACTCTTAATTCTTATTTCATTGGTTATTAAGGATGGAACTTGGCAACTCTCAGTTTTGATTTCATGGTTATTAAGGATGGAACTTGGCAACTCTCAGTTTTGACTTCATGGTTATTAAGGATGGAACTTGGCAACTCTCAGTTTTGACTTATGGTTATTAAGGATGGAACTTAACAAGTCTATTGAGATATGGCAAGTTCAGATTTCACGTTTTTTCAATTTTATGGTTGAAGCACTGGGCTTTAGGGGTTTAGCTATATAAATGTAGCGCAAACTCCTTAATGTAAGAAAATCTATCTTGCCATCCTTAACATTTGTATAGTTAAAATAACATAATTTTAAATATAATTTGGTATTATTTAAGAAGATACCACCAATTTCTATTGCTGACAAAATCAGTAAACTGATAACGGATTCTTGCGATGATATTCGAGTTTGAGTTCTTGTTCGACTACCAAGAAATTTGGTTTGATTATCATCTGACTTCGTTTTTTAATTCTTTAACAAAAAAAATTAATTATTTTAAATACTTTTTCTGAACGAATTGAGCTAATTTGGAGAAACGTTTCTAGACATAATACGCTGGCTATAAATATGAGTGCGCACACTGATATTTATGTATATTGATAAATCTTTTAAACATCCTGCAAGAAGACAAAATATACCTATTACAAAAATGCTTTACAACAAGCATATAATAGAATTTCTTATAAAAAGGATGATATTATTTTTACGTTAATCTGAAATCCTTGAAAAAGATCTTTGTAAGTGATATTTGTATATTCAAATGAATAAAAAATTTATAGCCACCCCCCTCCCCGGTGGAACAGCGGTAAGTTTACGAACTTACAACTCTAAAGCAGGAGTTCGATTTTTCGAGGTGGACACAACAGATAGCCTAATGTGGCTTTGCTCTAAAACAAACAAAAAACAAAACATAAAATATACCTTAGAGGTCCATAACAATAATTAGTAATATACCTTAGAAGTCCGTGGCAATGTTTAATTAGTAATATACCTTAGAGATCCGTGACGATACTTATCTAGTTTGATTATCTTAAATTAAGATGTCATTTAATAAAAAATACAGCGGAAATCATGTGTGACAGTAGGGGCGGGGCTCATCTGATAAGTTAATTGAAATCTAGATAACATACTTTTTATACTCTAACTGATTTACATGTTTAACTGGGGTCGAGTTCATAGTTCATACTAATTTAAATCCCTTAAATTAATATCTAAAAATAAATCTTAAATTTACTTAGACATTCTTTATTTTAAGTTCAGTTAGAATATTTAGCACACTCCCGTATACATGTTCTGTTTAATGTATATTCTGTAAAATGCACATGAATATTGCTCTGAAAAATATTCACATTTAAAGTTTTTGTCATTGTTTGGTACACAATTATTGCTCAAAGCTACATAAGTGATACCTGCGCATAACCATCTCTAATTTTCAACTGATAAACTAGAGAAAAGGTAGCTAGTCAACACCATCAATCAGCAACTCCTAAGCTGCTATTCCTTGACTGAATGGTGAGATTTGATCATCACATCTATAGCACACCCACAGCTCCAAAGTACAGCAAAATTTCATTACAAGCGTATCAAAATATATCTCTATACCTTTTTATATCTATATCCTTATTAATCATACAACAGAATTAACTTTAATCAATTCTTTAAGTTCTTTTCCGTATTCTAATACGTTGTTTTGTGAAGACACTTTAAAAAATATACACCGAACTGTTTTTTTTAATATGTCGCATACTTAATCATATCTGTGCACCAACAAAAGTTCTGGCGCTCCTGTTGTTTCGTTTGATGTTTGCACTGACTAAGATTGTCATAAGTCCGTTAATTAAGTCTACAGGTTCATTTTTATTAACTTGTATTTATTTTCCAGAAGCTTCCACCGTAAATAATGGACTAGAGAGTAAGTGTGTGTTTATTATTTTATTCTACGGCTGTTTAATAATAATACAAGAATATTTTAGAAGTGATTCTATTAAAACCTTATTCAGCAAGTTTTTCATTAAAGAACATAAAGGTATGGATTCTTCTTATACTGGCTCTTCATTAGTGTACTGTTGATCAACTAATTTATTAGAAAGGAATATTTATGTTTTGTTGTTACTTGTAGTGATATATTCGTGGAGATGAAAAAAATATTAACATTTTTTTTTCGAAATTTTTTTGATCATAAATTACATTTCGACAGATATGATATATTTCTATTAAGTATACAAACATATTTACATTTTATATCGTTGAAAATATGGATTCATTTTCTAACAAGTAGAAAAATGTACATGTAAAAAAAATAGGATCACTCGTCTCCACGGATTTATTATGGAAATAACTTAGAGACTTTTTCGAATAATTTAGATTATCATGTACGTATTACGAAAACTCTGCGAAAAACCAGTTGAACAAAATTCTTAGAAACTCTGCACGTAGTATTGACTCATTTCTCCTATAGAGGTTTGCTGAACGATCCATGCGCATCACATCGAAAT